ATTCAACAGATGTTAGCTATGAAGTCAGACGAAATAAGGGACAAAAAGTACTTTTGAGTAGAATTCTTTTAACTACCACTGGCTAATTCTAATTAGTATATTAGTTGTTTAAAACACAAACAATTGATGCTTGGAAAAATGTTTATTTTCTTCAGTAGGTTAAAAATACTTCCAAGGATTTTGTCCACCTCTGTTAGTAATAAAGCAAAAGAAAGTCTCAGTCGAAGGATGTAATTTAGGGAACCCTGGTCAGGAACCAGGAGACCTGGGATCCAGTCCCTGTTCTGCTGTCTTCACTGTGAGTCAGCAGGGATGGAGCTGGCTTCTCCATGGGCGTATCTTACGGCCCAGCTCTGCCCATCCCTGTGATGTGCTGCTCCCAGGAGCTGAGAAGGGAACAGACATTCTGGTCCCCGGTGTCCTAGTTGTGAAATACATTGCAACATCCATCTTCTCCATGCTTCTCAGGTGAACAAACTGACTTCACCACAGCCAGGATAACTGCAGCTCACCAAGCAGCACTTTCACGGCCACATCCACACACTGAAAAATGTACCCACAGACCATGTGGTCTCACAAAGTCACTTCACCCTTTAAGATTCTACCAGGAGTAGCATTCTCATGGTTTTCATCATTGTACGTCTCATAACTGTCTTTATTTTAACCAAAGAAAAGGCAGAAAGCCTGTAGAGTATCAAGGCTTCTGTTTGAAGTCAAACCCTGGAATGATAGAATTTGAGCTGTTCTCAAGCATTATTGAAGTTCTTTGACTTAGTACTTAACCATAACTTCTATGCAGCCCACCATACTATTAGAATAAAAACAGAGTAAGTTTACTTTGACCATAAATTTTCTAAGTGGATAGGATTTAGAGAAAAACAGAAGACAAAATTAAAAGACGCGTTTGGAAAATGAAACCTAAATGCTTCTTGTATGTATTTATTTGTGCCATGTAAACTAATTTTTAAACAGGCTAAGAGGCATAAAATGTTATTAAATACAAAATGCCTTTGCAACATGGCAAAGCAGGGGACCACAGCTTGAGAGACATTTGTACTTTGATGTTGTCTTTCTCTCAGCCCCTTTGGGTGTTCTAAGATAACAGATCTGGGACATCTTCAGTGGCAAAGAACTGATATTAATTCTCACTTCTTTGCTTGACCCAGGCCTTTGGAAAGATAACTTGAAATTACTTTCATTATGGCATATTAATTTTTTAAAAGCTATGGTAGTTAACTTTTGACTGTCATTCCTTATAGATTAAAAATAGAATACCTCAGTTTTCTGAAAGCCCTATTTGAATCTTTAAATATGAATGCAGTTTCCTTTTTAACTATACCCATGCCTCCCATCAAAATCATTTACCACCAGAAATTATTTTTTAAAGCAGAAGCACAGCACATATTTCAACTCCCATGTAATAACACTGCAAGATTTGGTAACATCTGCATATTTTCTTTACTAATTGCAGTGTTAGCCTGAAGTTAATTATATTTTTTTCAGCCAGAGCATATTGTTTGATATTGCTTATGAAATGATTTTAATGTTCAGCTTAGCTGTTAGGAGGAATCTTACTTTGTCTTATATTTTTAGATGCAGTTCTCCATTGTAGCACACTAATTCACCTGATAACTCCTTTTCTTTAAAAAAAAATCTTCAGTATAACGTTATATGAAAACACTGCAATAGGTGGCAGGGGATAGTGTTTTCATAATTCAGCTACATGTGAATCCTTCAGTTACAGTATATTTTTGTACTAGCATTGTTTAATAATAAATTTTTGGTTCTGAAGAACCTAGGGGCAGGGCAGGAATAAAGACGCAGATGTAGAGAATGGACTTGAGGACATGGGGAGGGGGAAGGGTAAGCTGAGACAAAGTGAGAGAGTGGCATGGACATATATACACTACCAAACGTAAAACAGATAGCTAGTGGGAAGCAGCCACATAGCATAGGGAGATCAGCTCGGTGCTTTGTAACCACCTAGAGGGGTGGGATAGGGAGGGTGGGAGGGAGACACAAGAGGGAGGAGATATAGGGATATATGTATATGTAGCTGATTCACTTTGTTATAAAGCAGAAACTAACACACCATTGTAGAGCAATTATACTCCAATAAAGATGTTAAAAAAATAATATTTTTGCATTCATCATTCTTGTGTGCCAAGCACAGTACCACACACCTAGCAGTCTATCAGTAAGTAGCAATTGCCACTATTAAGAATAATGCCAGTATGATCTTTAGATCATGTATATAGATGTATCATGTATAGAGATGTTAGATTGATCTAGACATCCATCAGTGTTAGATGGAGTGGTAGGGTAACAGAAAGCCTACATCTCTAATGACGTGAAACTGATATCATTTATATTCATTCAATTCAACAAATATTTATTAAATCTTACCCGTGTGTGATCAGTACTGTTGCTATCATCTATGTGGGCAAAGACAGAAAAAAGAGATGAAAGACTCAATTCTTGCCCTGAAGAAGGTCATCACAGTCGGGGCTCAAGACTCCATGAACAATTTTCTCCCAATTATATATTGTGTGTCATTATTAGTCTCTGCATTGTGTAGTATACATAGTTAAAAATTGTAAGAGATTAGAGGAAGGAAACTTCAGTGTAAGTTAGAATCATTTCAGGTGGCCTTGTGATGGAGGTGGGACCTGAATCAGACATTGAAAAATTGGTTAATGTTTAGAAATGCGGGTGAGAGGAGATTTCGTATGTGAGCAATAGCATGAACAAAGACTCAGAAGCAAGAAGAATCTTTGGAGTGTTCAGAGGATGGTGAGTCTTCCTGGGTCAGCTCATAGTTCGTGATGGGGAGCTTTGGGAGACTGTGTTGGATGCATAACATGAGGTCATAGAGGGCAAGGAGTAAAACAGTAGTGAGCTACTAAAGATTTCTAAATGAAGATGCATGCAGCTCCTCACAAAAGGCTAACGTGAGGGCCAGAGACTAGGCAAGAAGTCAGAGTCTAAGAAATATACAAGCACAAAAGAATAAGGCCAAGCAATGGGACAGCTAACAGGAAGCCTGGGTGGCAAGAAAGTCTTGAAACTTTCTTGCAAGAAAGTCATCAAAGTCTTGAAACTTGAGATATGTCTGTCCTAGCAGGAACCCCTGTAGTCTTCCTTTGGGAGCAGGAATTATTCCAGGGTCCTAAGTGGGTGTGAGTGAATCTTCTAATGGAAATACGAATCAGTTAACCCAAATGGAGTGGCAGAGATTTGGACAAATCCTGATATGATCAAAGTGGAGCTTCAGAAAAATGAACTTGTCACTGTTATGAAGAATGAATTAATAAAGGGTGAATCCAGGTTTAGATGGGACAGTTGGTAAATAATTGTAACAAATAAGGAGTAAACTGGTAGGAGCTTAGGCAAGGATTATAATTGTGGACATTGAGAGAAGTGATACCCATGAAAAGTAACTCAGGGTAGAAATGTGTCAGTGAAAGGTGGCACTGAGATTTCAAACCTGAGTGAAGAGGCAATAGTAGTAGCATGGACCAGAAGTACAAGCCTTAGGAAAGAAAGTTATACACGAACACGTCAGTATTTCCTGACCCAGTAGAGCTCGGCTGGAAAAAACATTCACAGACATGGCCAGTGGCCAGCATACAGAATAATTGGGACCTCCACTCTAATCTCATGGAGACCTTTGAGTGAGGTTTATTTTCCCTTTAACTTCTGACCACATCAGGGTTTTAGAGTAACTCTTGACAGATATGTTTACTTAAGGGATTTTCAATGAGTAGGGCACTGCTTATTGTTTAAATATGGTAGAAATATGCTGAAACTTTGGCAGGTAAAACACCTGGGCATATGGGACTGGAAATCAGTGTTTCGGTATATAAGTAGGTTACCCCTAGGTAATGCATTTGGTGAAATGTTTTCTCCAAATTAGAGCTTTCTTTTTGTTAATTAGATATCATCTTCCCATGAGGTCATGTCACTAAGACAGATAAAATGGATGGTAACAGTTACTGCTCAGAATGAATTAAAATAACAACATTCAGTTTGAAAAAAAAAAAGGTCTAAGGAGATGTTTAATAGTAAGAACCAATTATTTAACGTCTGTTTTTATTTATTTATTTATCTGACATCTACTCTGTCAGAAACTCTTAAGTGCTTTATAGCCATGATTCAATTTCATTAGCAAATAATCCCATGAAATACGTACTTTTATTATCCTCATTTTCCAGGTAAGGAAACTGTGACCAGAGAGGTTAAATTGCCTCAGATTATGCAAAGTTAATTAGGGATCCAGCTAGAATTCCCCATCAGGTCTAGTGTGACTCTGAAGCCCTATCCTTAACTGCTACACTATGCTTGTCTCTTCTGGCTTGAGCAAGCAAATGAGGTAATTGTGAATTTCACTAAGCCTTTAGCATATACCCTCCAAAGATGTGGTGTCTGTCATGTGTGAAGAAATAATGGTTCAATTATAAACTATGCCACTGAATGTTTAGCAGCCTATTTTCTCACATTTCTGGCAATGGAGGTCTTTATGTATTGAACCAGACTCAATGCAGTAAGAATTTAAATTTCTAGGAGCTGCATATAAACACATTATAAACTTTTGTTGCCTTCAGGGCTTTATTGTGACCCAGATGCTCTATGAACAGCTTAAACTTAGGTTGGGAATGTGGAAAATTATTTTACAATTGCAATTGTTTTAGGAAAAAGCCAGGTATTAGCGCACACATACACACACACACACACACACACACACCACAATCTGAGATGCCAAACACTATTTAAATTTTTTTCAATTAAAACACAAAGTGTACCTGTGAAAAAATCCTCTATACACTGAATAAAAATTTTAAATAAATATATGGCATAGGTATTCATATATGAACATTTTGTATGCATCTATTTCTATGTGTTTCTATCCTAGACACACAATGCATGCTAAAGAGCTTAAAGTTTACTTCCTTCTTCACCTGTAAAACTAACAGAGAATTGTTTGTTTGTTCTTCTCACAGCTGAATTTTTATTCCTCCTATGGGGTGTTTATCTCTGCTACGCGGTGCGAACGGTCCCATCAGCTTTTCACGAGCCGCGCTATATGGCTGTTGCAGTTCACAATGAGCTCATTATCTCCGCTATATTCCATACAATTAGGCAAGTGATCTGCAGAGCCACTCAACAACTGTTTTATTTTTCTGATGTGTTGCAGTTTAATTTAATAGCAAAATTGGATAAGATGCATAACGGAAAGATGTAGGACGGATAGTGTTTTATAACTTGACTAATTTCTTTGTCACAGAAATGGCAAATGAATCGTTTTGTTTTTTTTTTAAACTCTGCTGTTCTTAGTTCCTTCTGATGAGTTGTTTATTGCCTTCATTTATTTGGAAGGGTAACTCAGTGTTATTGTATTGTGTTAAACCACTTATGGGGATGTCATTAGGTATATTGTTTATGATACATAATACTGTTTGTTCTGAAAATATAAAGCAATACATGCATACGTTATAAAATAGATACAGGTAAATTGTCTATGTTTTCATTCATGTTTATTATGCTGGTTTATACTTTCAAAATTTTAACACTCAGATAACTTACGTATGTGAAATCTGTTGAATTCAGAACCAAAAAACCACTCCAAGTTGATGACTGGATTTTTGTGTGCAGTGGGGTTCTTTCATCATTACACTGTAGTGATGACTTTCTGTGGTAAGAAAATATGGCCTGGCCCTCCGTTTCTTATTATTCCATGTAGCTCCATAACCAATGAGTACAAAGGAGGAAGAAAGGGGCTTATGATAAGTGAACAAAATGAAATATGTATGACTTACCTCAACAAGAACAACAACCAAACAACAGCAACCAAAAAGGAATCCTATAGCCTGAAAAGCAACAAAAAGATGCCATTTAATTGTTCGACATATATTAAAAGTTAGGACACACTTAAGAATGTAATTAGAAATTTTGAATATTAGTCTTGGCCCGCAGTGGAAAGATAGAGATTAATAATAGGGTGAAAAGGTGTGGATCTGCGGAAGTTTTGCAGGATGTTTATCACCTCTCACTTTAGTCAATAATCATAAAATGACATCTTGCACTTCTAGGAATAGATGATGCCAAAGAACATTTGGGGCTCAGGCATAATCTACACTTTTTAAACTCTTAAAGTAAGAGAAAGAGGTATTTATGATCTGACAACCCTGGAAATTCCATCAGAGACGGCCAGGAATCAAGGGAATTTGCCCCCTTGCTTTGTCTTGCCCTCTCTCAAGAGAGAGAAAAGAGAGAAAGAGTAGAAGAGGGAGGACAGATGAGACGCAGAATATGAAATCATAAAGAAGCAAAGAAAAGGATGCTTTCTCTAGTTCCACTCAGACTAGAGCTCAAGGATATGAGTGAGGATGCCCTGGTCTAAAATGCCGTGAGCACCAGAGGGCACTTTGTCATGGTGCCAGAGCTCCAGAGCCTTCACATTTCTTCCAACCCCTCTCCCCAAAAAAGCTGCATCATTTTTGTTGTTTGTTTTCAGAATATCAAACATATATGTTTCAAGATCTAACAAACATGCTTATCTAGAACCATTGATAAGTTAAATGTTATATTAACAAACCAACTAGAGAGTTATAAGCATGTAAGAAGGCTTATCACATGGACTTCCCTGGTTGTCCAGTGGTTAAGACTCCACGCTCCCAATGCAGGGGGCCCGGGATTCGACCCCTGGTCAAGGAACTAAGATCCCACATGCTGCACAGCGCAGCCAATAAATAAATAAATAAAACAGTGGCTATGTAAATCAGCCATATTCAGTAAAAAATAAAAATTGAAAAAAAGAGGCTTATCACAGACGAGTTTAAATGTCTTCTACTGTCAGAATGTAACTGTCATGCAGAGTTTCCCACTTGTGCCCTAAAATTAACTGTTATGTTTCTTAGAACCAAATTAATTGCCCAAGAAATTAAATCTGTTCAACACAGTTGCCAAAATTGATCTATATCTTTTCAACCTGTTCAATTTTACTCTGTTCAATTTCCATCATTTAATGTGTTTTTTCAATAGATTTTCAACTCTCAGCTGGCCCAAGTCCTTTCAGAAGTAGGCAAGGTAAATGATTTTTAAATGAACTTTAAAAAAATTCTTAATAGTAAGGCAATAGCTGGTTATTTCAAAAAAAATCATAAAATGATAAAGAGAAAATAAACTCCCTAATCCAACCACCCAAAGACAAGCACTATTAACATATTAGTAAATCACTGTTAGATGTTTTTATATGCATGTGTATTTATGACACATCACATTTGATAGCTCCCTTGTAGGAATGTCACAGTGACGCTAGCATACCGAGAAGTCCTGCTGTACAGATAAACTGTTTAACTTTGTTTAACCAGCATTTTCCAAATGTAATGGACCATTGAATCCCCCCAACCCTTACATCTGATAACAGCAGCCACGCTTCAGAAAACACTGTTTTATCACTGAACGAGGGTGATAGGAAATATGTTAAATACTTGTTGAAAATAGCTTTCTTACTTTGCTTAGGTCTTTCCTATAGAGTCCCAAACAACCCAGCCAGAAGAATCGTATAAACCATGAGCTGGGTTCACGTAGACACAAGCTGATTGAATGGTTCATGGTGAACCTAGTAGGTTTGGTATTGAGCAGACATAGCATACTCTTCTTCCAGACAACTCTTTAATCCCCTATCAGTTTTGAACAGGGAGGACTTCAAATGGTAGCAGAGGGACCAGCCTTGGTATCTTTTGGTATCTTCTTAGGCAAGGCTAAGCAAACCTGAACGGGAAGCTCTGCATTTCAAGTTCCAAATTTGACTTACCTTTCTACATAGACCAGACTCGATAAGATGGTGGCACATTGGCTCCAAAGAATCGTAGCTACTCTCTTGAATGTTTAATTTGTATGGCCATAAGGGACCAGTGATAGAATTATAGTTTAACACATTAAATCTACAGAACACTGATTTTAGGGGGATGAGCCAGGAGCAAGTAAAACGCAGTGATAATTAAAGAAATCAAGTATGCACAACTTCTTATTTACATGTGGACTGAGTTCATGTATGCTGTGGTTCCAGCATTAATAAAGTTCAAGGATAAAAAGCAATAACATAAAAATTTAAATCAGCTGGATCCATCTTGGCAATTTTTTCCTAGAATGAAATAATATTAAATAAGGCATCTGACATCAGCCAAGATATTCTCTATCAATAGGATATATATGTTCTTCTTGTCTGCTTAAAAGATAAAATTATGTATACATATATGTATGTATTCACATTTATACATACACATATATAAATTAAAAACTATGACTACATATTATGTACAGATTTACCTTCTTTCTTACCAAATTGTCAGACTGAACAAAAATAACCTAAAAGGGTTAAGTCTAGAAGGATAAATGATGAGAAGGCATTTCTCTCAGCCTGTTCTAACCCTTTACTTATTTTTAGTACTAAGCATAAAGCAAACCTTCGGGAAAGTGCAAGGCTTTTAAAAAGTTTGCCTTTATTCTTAGCCTCAATTTTCAAATATTTCGATGCGCCTGATTTTTGGACCGATTTTTTAAGTTGAAATACTATTTTTTAAAATGAAGCTTTAATACTATTTCAAAACCCAGTTGTTCTTAAGGTATTTCTAATCAAAACTGCAACCTAAAAAAATCTGGCAGTAATTAAAAGCTGATTAAGGACAATCGATGTTAGCATATCTCAAAATTATTTTTTGGAAGATTCACTGTTTTAATTCAAAATATATGTACCCATTCTTTTTTCCAGATATTGTCAGGCTAGTTTCAAGTTTACCTGTGTTGGCATTTGAGATGGGAATTCCCAGTACATAAGGCTGCTTTTTGACTGTAAATCCTTCTCCTTTGATGTAACTGTCTGCTCCAGTACTGGCAGGGGCCCCAGCAGATTGGGATTGTATTATTTTCAGGGGTATATTTTCTACTGCTTCTGTGCCTCAATATTCTGTCTCAGAGACTGTAACTTTTTATTGAGTAAGATGATCCTATTTTAATGCTTAAAAAAAAATCTTACTTGACCCAGCACAGACTGTATAGTCAAAAGTATCCCGTCCCTGAACAAAGTGAATATTCAGTCACATTCAAAGCAGGTATGAAGACACTTTTCTCACATAAGAGCTAGAAAAGATGTTAATTCAGAAAATCCCTTTTAGTTGACTGTGAAGTATCATGGCCATTCTGCACTTCTGTGTATAAGTCTATGTTTTTTATATCTCCAGACACAGGGGAAAAAACTCTATCTCCATTTTGATGACTCCTGAGCTTCCATTTTAGCTTGATTTTTTTTGGGGGGGGAGGGATGGAAGTGAAAATTTGGAAGAAATATCCTTGATGGAAATTTTGTTTTAAATATTAATAATATTAATTTACTTAGTAAATTTGTCATGAATATGGTATAATGCAGAAATAAAATTAGTCTCTTCTCTTTTTAGATTCATATATGTTTATTTCATGATTATATCATAAGCATTTTCTTAGGATATGAGCTTTTCAAATTTGATGATGTATATCATTGAAACAAAATGCTAATTCTCTAATTCCAAAAGCACTAAAATCTCATATTTAGCTTTTATGGATAAACAATAGATGGGAAAACATTAAAAGAAGAATATGAGTGCAAAATGACCTTAATAAAAGCAATATCTGGTTTCTGCATATAGATGAGTCCTTAACACATGAGTTTTAGTTTGTACATGTACCTACTGATTTGTGAAAACATTCCCAAATTACCAGATCAGATATTAATAATGAATTTTTCCTATACATGTTACTTGAAGGGCCGTCCTGGAACACAAGTTTATAAATTCCTCAATAAGATAAGATTTTAAATATTATATTTTAAATTATTTTAAAATAATTTGATGCTCTATAAAAACTAAGGTTTGTATTTTAAAAGATGCACTTTGTATGTCAACTATATTTCAATTTTTAAAAACAATTTTAAAAAGATGCACGTTACAAACCATTAGTACATACATTTTATCCATTACATTGCTTATCATTTAAACTTCTGGGATCATTCACTAAAACAGATATTTACCCATTTTTTTCCTTAGTTCTAATTAATATTTTTAAGTGAAGAATATTATGATCAAGAGTTATTTGGATGTGTCTTATAACCTAAATTTGCCTGAAACAATCATTTTTTAACCTACTCTTCTTTTGAATTCACATGTGTTCACTGCTTTTGCTTTGCACATTCAACTTACCTACAAAATAATAATCCAAGGAAGTGTTTAACACATTATATATGTATGTGTTATCTTTCTTACTATTGATAATTTTAAGAACTAAAGGGTTCATATCTTATGCATCTAATTAGGGTTACTTAGACCCTTATTCTTCTGTGATGAAAATATATGTCATAGAAATAACAGTATGACTTCTTTCTTGCTTGCTTTCTTTAACTAATACATTGAGGAAAAGAGTTTCCAAGTATCCTAGTGTTTTAAGTAGAGATCTTGTTGGGTTGCTAATGTGGTGAATTCTCATTTCAGATTTGTTCTTGCCTCAAGACTTCAGTCTGATTGGATGTTGATGCTGTATTTTGCACATACTCATTTGACTGTGACAGTGACCATTGGGTTGCTTTTGATTCCAAAGGTATTCCTCCAACATTACTTTTCTCTTGCAAGATAGTTGTTTTAAATGAGCGTGGAATTGTTTCTCCTTTAAAAAATATCTGGCAATATAGGCAAAGGGAGGTGTGAAGATTTGCTTGACACGCTACAATGTTTTTAAAACTCCCTCCTCAGGAATCTAGGTGTCTCTTTTCTTTGGGCATTTATTAAACATCTCACACAATTTTTAACTGCCTTAGTTTGTACAAAACCCATCATCTGTTTTAGTCCTTTTCCAAATACTTTGATATCTATTCATGTTTTAATTATTAGGGGTTCAAGGTGGCCTTTCATTGTAGCTGTAACCTCAAGCTCGTTTTTAAAGATAATTATCCTAATCTAAGAATCCTCTTGTTTGGATTCATATTCAGGGAAGTACTGTGTTTTAAACATTCAGAGAGTTTTTATGTAAATAGAAATAATTATAATGTTGTATAAAAAGAGTCTTGCTTAACAATGATGGATTCTGACAAAGACTTATCTACACAGCATTCTGACGTGGAGGGAAACGGGCCAGGACTCAGAATACAGGGATTCTGAACTCATACCCCACCCCAAGTTAGCTGTGTAATGTAACGTTAGGCAAGACTTTTCATCTCTCTGAGTCTGTTTCCTCATCTATGACATGATAGCAGTGAGGCTGCTTGGAATAAAACAAAATGATATCCGAGTTTTGGAAAAAAGATACTATACAAATTATCGTTATTTTCCTCTTTTACATGTAGAAAAACAAAATATTAGAACAAAATATTATGTGTAGAAAAACAAAAATTATCATTGTTTTCCCCTTTTACACGTAGGAAAACAAAATACATCTTTATCAGTGTCGTACAATGTAACGTTAGCACAGCTGAAACCAGAATTGTGATTTCACTCTAGGCTTCCTTTACCTCACCTCTCACAGTTAACCAAAACATTGAACTTCAGCCTGATTGAAAAGACCAAACAATTGTAAACAGAGCAAAATGCCTATTTTCTTCCTTACTTGAATTACACCAGATAGCCATAATTTTCATGGATGTGTCTGTTCCTGCAGTCTATCTTAACCATCCTTATACTGTACGTAATATGACTACATTTTTATTAGATGGGTATATACTCAGACTATTTATTTATTCATTCAAAAAATTGTTATTGAGCTCCAGAGACAATTTAAAACATATGTTTACACAAAAATTTGTTCTTGATGTCTATTACCTTGGTAGTGATGGCATCACGGGTGTTTGCATATGTCCAAACTCATCAAATTGTACACATTTAATATGTGCAGTTCTCTGCATATCAATTATACCTCAACAAAGCTGGCTTAATTTTTTTTTAAATTTGTACATGAATGTTCATAGCAGCATTATCCATAATAGCCAAAAAATGGAAACAACCCAAATGTCCATCAATTGATAATGTATAAACAAAATGTGGTATACCCACAAAATGAAATGCTATTCATCAATAAAAAGGAATAAAGCGTTGATACATGCTACAACTTGTACAAACCTTGAAAACCTTATGCCAAGGAAGCCAGATAAAAAAGGCCACATATTATATGATTCCATTTATGTGAAATGTCTGGAATAGACAGCTCGAAAGAGACAGAAAGTGGGTTAGTGGTGCTGTGGGCTGGGGAAAAAGAGGTATGGAAGTGACTGCTTCCTGGGTTCAAGGTTTCTTTTGGGGATGATGAAAATATTCTGGAATTAGATGGTGGTGATGATTGTGCAACCTCATGAATATACTAAAAAACACTGATTTGTATAGTTAAAAATTGAGAATTTTATGGTATGTGAATTATATTTCAATAAATAATTTAAAACATTATTGAGGAGCTTTACTAAGCACTGTTCTATATCCTAGAATAAGAGTAGTGAACAGATATAAATCTGTGCTCTCATGATACTTATATTCTGGTGGAAGAGAGGAGGAAACAGAAAAGATAAACAAAATAAATATTTAAAATAGTATTTCAGATAGGGATAAGCATTAAGGAAAAATCATAAAGCAGGAAATGGACAATATCTGACAAATAACTGTCTCTTAAACTCACGATAATCTCTAAGACTTTGCTCAAGAAAAATAATTTCATTCTTATGGGCTTCCCTGGTGGTGCAGTGGTTGAGAGTCCGCCTGCCGATGCAGGGGACACGGGTTTGTGCCCCGGTCTAGGAAGATCCCACATGCCGCGGAGCGGCTGGGCCCGTGAGCCATGACCACTGAGCCTGCGCGTCCGGAGCCTGTGCTCCGCAACGGGAGAGGCCACAACAGTGAGAGGCCCGCGTACCGCAAAAAAAAAAAAGAAAAAGAAAAATAATTTCATTCTTATAAATAACCTCCAGTAGCATGTGAGATTTTGGAGGACCAGGACTCTATTTTCGTCACCCTTATGGCCTTAAGTTTATGGCACATGTGGCTCCCACAAACATAAATAGAAGAGTGAGGGGAAAGTTCATCAGTTCCTGTGGTTTCTCAGCCGGTCCCAAATACAAAAGATTCATTATTACTTAAATAGAGAACTACCATCTCACATGTTATCTCCAATTTGTGTTCACCTGCCTAGCTGAATATTTTAACAGTAGTTGATATTAAAATATCTCTGTATCAAAGGGCAACCTGTTCTGTTTTTTTCTTTTATTATATTTTGTTTTTTTAAGTATCAAATGTCTTTATAGACAGTGCTTAATGGTATAGAGGGTAAAAGATTTGTCAAGAATCACACAAATTAAGTGGAAGGACCCCTGTCACATGTATATTTTGGAAGTCTAATCTATTACATTTGGATTACTGCTACATTTCTTATCATGAGATTAGCTACTTTTTTTTTTAACACTAGGTCCTTGTTGGTTATCTATTTTAAATATAGCAGTGTGTACCTGTGAATCCCAAACTCCCAATCTATCCCTCCCTCCCACCCTTCCCCTCGGTAACCATAAGTTCAATCTCTAAGTCTGTGAGTCTGTTTCTGTTTTGTAAATAAGTTCATTTGTGTCATTTTTTTTTAATTCCACATATAAGCGACATCATATGGTATTGGTCTTTTTCTGTCTGACTTGCTTCACTTAGTGTGATAATCTCTAGGTCCATCCATGTTGCTGCAAATGGCATTATTTCATTCTCTTTAATGGCTGAGTAATATTCCATTGTATACATGTACTACATCTTCTTTATCCACTCATCTGTCGATGGACATTTAGGTTGTTTCCATGTCTTGGCAATCGTAAACAGTGCTGCAATGAACATTGGGGGTGTATGTATCCTTTTGAACATGTTTTTCTCCGGATATATGCCCAGGAGTGGGACTGCTAGTTTTAGTTTTTTAAAACCTGTTCATTATTTAAAGAAACATTTTACCTGATGACAGGCTAGGAGAAGAGAACCCAAGTTCTCTCAGGTTTCATAGGACAATCACTTGGTTTCTATGTTGTGTAAAATGTGGCTGGATGCTTTTGATTTTTCCTGCTCTCCATCATTTACCCAATTCATTCTTCCTCACTTTTCCACTTGAAGAAGAGTAGAGATAGCAAGAGTACATGAAACTGAAAAATAGCAAAAGACTACATGAAGATAATGAAAATATATCAAAATGCAATGAAGGAGGAACTTGAGAATAATGATGAGTTTAAGAAAAAAAATCTATAATTTCAGTGAATCTTTGAATTTTAAACTCAGATACCATCCAGCGCAAGCCCTTTAGGCCAAGAGGACACTGTGCTCCTGAGAGGTTCCATGGCCTGGTTAAGGTCCCACTGACAACAGAGTCGAGGCTGGAATTCAGATCTCCTGTGCCCTGAGTTTTGAAAGTCGTGTTTTTGAAGCTCTGTGTGACAGACTGAAAGTCATATTCCTGTGATCAGTCCAGTTGTGCCCATAGATGAAATACAGCCTCCTCTGTGTAAAGTGAAATGACATGATACACACCACCTGTCAAAAAAATATTCCCATTCAGCTGCCAGTGGGTCTAAATTGCTACTCTTACAGTGTACTAAGAGTACCCTAAGAGAACATTTCTTTGGATTCTTCTACTTATTTTCATTTTCAAAATGCAAATATCGTTGAAGAGGAATAATGTGAGTTAACCCTTGGAACCTGGAAAAAAGACAAGAATGAAAATAGGAGTCAAAGAGGGAACCAAGTGTTAATGTTGCCTCACTAAGTGCTCTAGCATGTAAGGTGGGAAACAAAACACACATATGGCAGCAAATATTTTGTAAAGAGTTCAGTGAATGAATTCATCTAAGCTGAAGAAATGATGTAACACTAGAACCTTCAGAAAAGTATTATGTTGTGTCCTACAGTAGACTAATGTCTACAGCTCATATTGAATTTCTATTGCAGTTTTCACATTCAAGCAATAACCCACGAGACGACATTGCTACAGAAGCATACGAAGATGAGTTAGACATGGGCCGATCTGGATCCTACCTGAACAGCAGTATCAATTCAGCCTGGAGTGAGCACAGCTTGGATCCAGAAGACATTCGGGTAATACCAGTATTTCTTCTTTTCTGTTTTAGATTAGACCCATTCATACAGGCTCACACGTGTGGGTCGATGTGCATGTGTGCTTCTTTGTGTTAGAGAGCATGTGTGTTTGTGTAAGAACTGAAGGCATCACATGCAGTTAACCCAGTTCTAAATAAAACATAGAATCACAGTATAAGTTAGGCCACACAGGCCAGTCTTGATAGTCTTAACTGACTTATTGGACACCATGATGATGAACTGGTTGTACATGTCCCATGATGACGGTTTATGAGATCTTGCTGATGGGAAACTAGGATAGATCTGTGAGCAGAGAGTGTGAATTATTTAAAATAATCTGTGACAATATATCAGCATTTGGAGGAAGAAGATGCTTTTGTATTTGATGGTCTGTTGTACACTAATTTAACATTAGGTGTAATTTTATCAGTGGCTACATGATGCTTCCCATATCGTTCAGGGATATGGTTTCTCAGTAGACAACAGGCTGTGTTTTGTCATGGTCCAGGCTCAGCCTGGTCCACGCAATTCACAAGTTCAAAGTGCCTGTTGCATGAAGCAAGTGCAGAATGCAGGAGTTCACGTCTTAAAGTTCAAACACTGTGTGAAACAGGATACAGAGGAATCAGAAAGTGAGAGTGAGGGGAAAGTTGATGAGCAGAGGTGTTAGGAAGAGCTCCGTTCATTGACTTCACATTACAATTAGTGACATGAGCCGGCCCACACGCTAAATTCCGCACCTCTTTGAATCTGCTCTTGTTATGTATGGCAGGACGAGCTGAAGAAGCTCTACGCCCAGTTGGAAATCTATAAGAGGAAGAAGATGATCACAAATAATCCCCACCTCCAGAAAAAGCGGTGCTCGAAGAAGGGCTTAGGCCGTTCCATCATGAGGCGGATCACCGAGATCCCGGAGACGGTCAGCCGTCAGTGCTCCAAGGAGGACAAGGACGCGTTGGACCACGGCGCAGCCAAGGGCGCCGTCCCGGGCAGGAAGAACCCACAGGAGGCTGCGGGCGGCGCCGGGAAGCCCAAGGAGGAGTCCCTGCGGAACCGAGTCTTCTCGCTCAAGAAATCGCACAGCACGTACGAGCACGTGCGGGAGCAGCCGGGCAGCCCAGGCAGCCCGCCCGCCCCGAGCCGGGAGGAGGAGGCGGCGGCCACGGATGACTCTGCGCTGGGGTCCCCGGCGGGAACGAACCGACCGCGAGCCCTGCAAGACGACAGCCAGGCCGTGTCCACCGAGTCCGTGCCTCTGGTGTGTAAGTCGGCCAGCGCCCACAACCTCAGCTCGGAGAAGAAGCCCGGGCCGCCCCGCACATCCGTGTTACAGAAGTCCCTCAGCGTCATCGCCAGTGCCAAAGAGAAGACGCTCGGATTGGCCGGGAAAACCCAGGCGTCCGGCGTGGAGGAACGGGCCAAAGCCCAGAAAGCTCTGCCGAGAGAGAAAGAGACAAACAGAAAATACTCAAATTCAGATAACGCAGAGACTCAAGACTCTGCCCCCCCAAACTCCAATCATTCAGAGGAGCCAAGAAAACCTCCGAAATCTGGGATCATGAGGCAGCAAAGGGCCAACCCCCCCACTGCCAGTTCCGACCTGAGTCCAGGCGCCCCCCAGTTGAAGGACAGCTTTGACATAGGGGAGGTGTGCCCCTGGGAGATCTACGACCTGACCCCCGGTCCTGTGCCTTCAGAATCAAAAGTTCAAAAGCACGTATCGATTGCGGCTTCTGAAATGGAGAAAACCCCAATTTTTTCCTTAAAGGGGAAATCTCATCCCAAGCCTAAGGCAGCTGAACTATGTCAGCAGTCCAATCCGAAGAGCATAGACAAAGCTGAGGTGTGCCCTTGGGAGAGCCAAGTTCAGCCCCTCTTTGAAGATGAGAAGTGTGTGATTTCCAAGACTCAGGTTCCCCCAGGAAGAGCTCAAGGGGAGAATGGCGGCCAGCACCCTGCAGCCAGTGTGTGTGCTGGGCAGTGTGAAGAACTGCCTCCCAAAGCCGTAGCATCAGAAGTGGAGAATGAAAACCTCAACCAACTAGGAGACCAGGAGAAAAAGACATCTTCCTCTGAGCAAAATGTGCCTGACTCATATAACTCAAGTAATAACTTTCAGCAACGCTTAACATCACGAGCTGAGGTATGTCCCTGGGAGTTTGAGACCCCAGATCAACCGAATGCTGAAAGAAGTGTAGCTTTCCCCGCCTCTTCTGCTTTAAGTGCAAATAAGATAGCAGGGCCTCGGAAATAAGAGGTCTGGGATCATTTTAAAGTGTAGCATCCCCAGAAAGAAAAGGAGAAGGAAGAAACGCTGAATTCGCTATAAGACAGAAGATACAGGATCACAAATTCCCAAGGAGTATTGGTCAGTCAAGGGAAATGTGAAAGGGAGGGGTGGAAGAACACATAGGAGGCCAGGGCAACGTCGTAATGGAGAAGTTAGACTGGCCAGGAAAGTCTTGCCCCAGGGAACACTGGGAAAATCCTTACACTTCAGCATATGTTTGGGGGAAGTAGCCCTCAATGTCTGCCCCTGATCAATACTTACCCTTGGGACTTCGAAGATCCCAAGCAAGGCAAACCAGAAGACACAGAAGAGGGACGAGATTTTGCAAAGGACAGGAAGGTATTGACGTATGTGACCGAAATTCTAAGTAGCTGACTAAAAAGAACTTACTTTACCTATTTAACCTTGATAGCACTGCTAACTTAATGCATCCAAAAATATCTTTTATATTAATGATTGCTTTCATTTTCTTATAAATGTCTGTTTCAGTACATTGTTGTGTCTCATTCCAGCATTCCAGATTGTATAATTTTTGCAAATAACTTTGATATTATGTGACACAACACATTTATGCAATCTGCAGCTACTCAATTGTTATTGCAACTTCCAGAATACCTGCTATCTATCAACTTTAGTTGATTCTTGAAGTACAGTACGCTTTCTCTGGCTTGGGAAGCCATAACTGTTATGATAAAACCTTTTAATTTTGGCTGTGGTTTATATATTGTGAATTTGGATTTGACTCTATTATTTCACATCATGGTTTGTTATACTGTCTTAATAAGGGTTTTTTATACAAGTTGAGTTTCTTGTTTTGCACTTCCTGTTAGGACTCAGAAGCTTTATTAATATTGGAGATCAAGTGGTCCTACTTAGTCATACATCTCATTAAGTTAAGGACAACTTATCTATTGTTTGTTCAAAGTCAGGGATAGATAATGCCTTCATTCCAATTAATTGTCCCTTTTAACTCTTTCAGGATTTCATACTTAGCAGCATTTCGTAAGGAAGGAGGAAGCTAAGAGTGAGAAAAATATACTGTGCATTATTATTACCATTGGCAAGGGAAGACTCTGGGAATGACAAGAGAATTAGAGTACTGCAGAGCCAGGGGATTTGCCTTTAAAACAAAGACAGAAAGGGAGCTCCCAATAGCACTTTCAAGGGATTATATTTTTAAAGAGAAAAATTATTATAGCATCAAGATCATTATATGGATATATTTTTATTATGTATACTAAATATATAATATTTTACATTACCTTAAACTACTTATTCTCATAAACTCTTATTCATTGCTTCAGGCAGGGGTAGAACTTGCTGGGCTTGAATCCCAAAGAGATTTATAACCAGTTACTCAAAGCCTATGAGGCAGTGTGGGCTCTTCATTCTTCCAAGCCCTGGAAAACTTCCAAGTCCTGCAAATGGCCTAGGTGAGCTACCAGGCTCAAAATTCCAAATGTAGGGGTTATTTGCAAGGCACAGCAGCTCCCAAAGCACGTTTCATAAAACGTATCGCATTCCACACTGATCACCTGGCACAGCCATCCGAAGCTACTGATTTAGCCCTACTGATGTGATCATGCAAAGAGATTCCATCGCAAAACTCAGTCTCATTTTATTTTAAGGTGAATCACTTAAAAATAGAACCCAGACTTCCTTTCTCTCACGCTAAATGCTGAAGTATCACGGCTTGTTCGGCCAGGACATTTATAACCTAAATAACTGTTTTTCATTTTCTGAGCAGCAAGGAGAACGTGCTAGGAGGGTAGAAGTTGAGAAAAGGGCATCAGAAGGTGGATACGGGGCTGTTCTTAGGAATATTACTCTCAGTGGAAGATAAAAACTGGGAATTCTCCTATTCAGCATCAGAATTTTCCCAGTGATTGTATTCAGGAGTAACGTGCATTTCACCATTTTGCAAAGCTGTGCGTAAATCTCCTCACCCATTTGCTTGCTTCGTGCATTACTCAGGATGGTGGGGTAGGTTTGAAGAGATGTCGAAATTCTATCTGTTTTTGCTTTCTTCATTTACTTCCTTCTCCGCTTCCTTTTCAGTCAAAGCCTATCTATCTACTTAGTGACCTTGGACTACAACTTTAAGGTATAAAGTTGTGAACTTGGTTTGGAGTGTCCAGACCCACCTACTTGTTTCATTTACATCTGAGATCTGTTAGTACTTTACTGACTTTTTCAGAAATAAGCGGTCAGGCATCAGTGACTTTTTACTGCACTTCAGGATGACCCTGCTAGAGATGTGACCTAAAGAAGACTTGCCAGTTTCGACCTTAGTACAGTCCATAGAGTCTCTTCCACCAGCATAAATCAGCAAGAGCGCCTGGGGTCTTTCCTAGACTTTCATTGCCATTATTTATCACCAAGAGAAGTTTAAATCTTCAATCCTTGAGGTTGTTTTCCCAGATTGATAACAATAAGCAAGTGAAGAAACACTATTAAGTTCACAAACATTTGCTAGGTTGTCCTTCTCAGTGCATGTGCAGGCTGCATCCTGTCCTTGTTTTTAAGCCAGGGTTTATAAATAAGTAGATTTATACCAATCTTAATAGAACTGTATATTTTATGCAAGAGTTAAACGCTTTACGACATGAATTATAACCCAACCCATTGTAAACGTTGGTGGCCATATGGATTTGAAACTCGACAGTTCTCTTGTATTTGCTTCCTAGGTCTCTGCATGCAAGTGATGACACAGGTAGGACTGAAAAAAAACACTGCCTTTTGACTTCTAGCATTTAGCAACCGAGAGATGTAGAGTCAATAAAGCTGTCAGTCTTTTCACTTAATCTATGGTTCTTCTGAAACTATTATCTGAAACCTACAGCATCCCACCACAAAATATTTGGTAAATTTATGTCGTGACGTGTTGCAGCATGTAAATACTTATAACTTCTCTGCAATAAAACATATTTATATGAAAGCAGTTTGTGGCGATTTGTGTGTTCATCTATCAAAAGTTGAATTCATTTCACCTAACCAACTTTAGGAGGAATCCCATATATCTTTGGCTTTGGTACACTTATGCGCACACATCCCCACACTGCCTGTATATAGGAATGTGTGATTAGTCAAATGTGGCCTCAAACATGCAGGTAATCATTTGGAGCCAATAAAACCTGTCAGGACTAGTGGTTTTGATTTAAGGATGCTCTAGCCAAATGGGAACTAATTCAGCTACCTTTTAAATTTTCTATTTATTTATTTACTTACTTATTTACTTATTTATTGGCCGCGGCTTGTGGGTTCTTAGTTCCCCAACCAGGGATTGTACAAGTGCCCCCTGCAGTGAGAGCACAGAGTCCTAACCACTGGACCGGCAGGGAATTCCTCAGCTACCTTTTTAAAAACTGAAGGTAAGTTGATTTACAATGTTGTGTTAGTTTCTGGTGTACAGCAAAGTGATTCATATATATATATATATATATATATATATTCTTTTCCATTGTCGTTTATTAAAGGATATGGAATATAGTTCCCTGTTCAGCTACCATTTTAAATTTACTCAACAAACATACCAGGCCATCTGCTAAGCAACGATGATGATCTTCAGATGAACAAGGTGCTCCAGTAGCACTCAGACCCATAAGAGTATCCGGGCCCTGCTATGGTATTACACAGGACAGCGTGACTAAGTCTCGGAGCCAGGGCTGTCTTCATAGGAAGGGCACATTCACCAGGCTGAAATTCTGCAAAGCCATCAGGTATGAAAGGGAAAGAATGTAGGGCCGGAAAGGTAATTGTGCACAGCATTGCACGTCTTGCTTCAGGTAACTACAGTGTATCCTTTAGTACTGGGAGCTATCAAAAAGCTTTAAATAGGGCATAATCAAGTCACATTTTAGAAGGAAAGGATTTGTCCCCCGAATTATGGGAAGCAGCCCAGAAGTGGCCTGAAGTGGGAGGAGACTAGAGGCAGCTACATCAGCTAGAAGAGAGTTGGGGTAAGGGAAAGTGAGGGCCTAAGGAGGAGAGGAAAAAAATGTTGGTTATTTTTTATTAAAATAGCATCTTCCAATGTGTTTCCTGTTACGTTATACTCCTAGGAAGCCAGAAAAATCAGAGTAATTAGGTAACTGTGTCAAATATAAATGTTCCTTCTAAGTTTGTTAACATTTTGGATAATTTCAAAAGTTTTCAAAGCCCTCTCTGAAGGTCACTGGACCTCAGTATCCTCTACTCATGAGAAAAAGCTGGATGCCAGGTTCATGCTATGGGAAACCTTGATACTGAACTGGGCTGGGAAAGGAGCAAAGGGCTTGCCTAGATGCAGACCTAAATTCCTGCCTGGAAGTGGCAGCTCTGAAGCAGCTCCAGAAAGAAGCAGGTGTGGCAGGAGGTCAGAGGGATCCACCCTCTCCCTGCATCACCTTTCCTTTAAGTGGTTCCTGCGATGGCCCTTTCCCAACCCTTCACACCATTGTTATTGCATATTTGCATATTCTTATTCTCTCAGTACTTACACGGAGCCTTTGGGGATTAACAAACCATGGAAATCAAGTCTACTTATGTGATAAGGAAGATAGAGGCTTTTCAGTGTTTGTTGGAATTGCTTGGGTGATGGCTGTATTATTTTTCATATATTTATGCACAGTAACAGTTTTGTTTCTTTGTTCTACATTTAGAACCTTTTTGTTAAAAAAAATACTTAAGAGGACTATTCCTATCAGAGATTGACTTTATCACTCCAAAAAGTAATCATGTCAATCTCTTGTTCTAAAGCAATGCAAGTTAGTTAAGATTTTCATTATTATTTCAGCATATTCTGTCCTTTTCCCCCGGAATAGTTATGAGGACAGAAGTAATGTCTTTCTAACTTTGGTTATTTTCTCTTGAAACATTTGTTTCTTGGAAAGTACAAGGGCAAACTCGGAGCACATTGTATGCTTTAATTCAGTGTTAACTGGTCAGAAGGCAGACAATGGAAAGTCTGAATTGGTTTTTAATTTCCCTTTCTCTGCGATGTGAATATAATA